AAAGGTTTTGCAAGCAAATGATGCACTCTAACGCTCTGCAGGATGTCCTGGAAATGCGCGTACTTTTTCACTCTTATATACTCTGCCCATTTACCCTAACTACTTTGTCCACCCGAGACCAGGACTACTAATTATATATTACATATATCATATATATGTAGTTGATCAACCTGTGTATCTTTTGCCCTACCCTATACCACTTCTCTTGTTTGTATCCCACCAGGCTCTACGTTTATGTGGTAAGGTATATTATCCAAGTTTCATTGCATCTTTGGCACAATCGTTTTTTAGAATAGAGTAGAGTACAGCAGTTGGGACGAAGCTGAGGAGTGAGAGGTCGTTGTATTATACGTAAAGGTCCCCCCCCCCACATATATATATATATATTATTATAGTACCAATGTTTCATGATTTTTGCATCCTCGAAGCAAAGAACGATGTGGGTCCTCCTTGGTTTTGTTGATCTCATTGATCAGGAATATTCTTTGTACTTCCACGTCCTGGTAGTCGTGCAGATGAATGGCCTGTCTATTGGGACCAAGACACTATAAGACACCCTCAAAGCTCCCAAAGATCTTTGATCTTCAATGTGTTCCTAACGAGTTGAACTTTCAGCATTGTGTAGAAGTTCAGCAGTCTCTATGATTCTTGTCTCACTGGTCACTGGAAATGACACAGTGGACACTCTCAAACTCATCTCGTCTCGTCGCAAAACCAAAAACCAAAGGCCAAGGCTGCATCTCGCGCTCTGAGCATGTTTGTTGAGGCTCCTTCTCTGCGGCGTCCATGTTTCTCATGCTGCACGTGCTGAGCTTCGCTGCCGCGCCCTTGCTGCTGACCTTGCTGATGACGATGTTCGTGCGACCGGCCAAGGGCCTCGACTTCGGCACCTCGGAAGAAGCTCGTGTCGGATGGTGTCGGACCGACCGGGCGACGACGTGTGGTCGGGTTTGGGAAGGAAAGGACATCAGAATTCCCAGGCACAGCATATATGAATCATATATGTGTCTGAATGTTTCCCGGAGTTTGATCTACTTAGATAACCAAGGTCTATGACATCATGACACCTCTGTTAGAAGAGATAGTCTGGCAGCCCCAAAACTTCGGTGGCTTGATGCGAGTTTGCGTGGCTTGGGGCAGTCTGTCAGCGAGTAGAAGCAAGATTCAAGATTCGCTCACATGGTCATGTGGGTCATATGGGTCATGACATGTCATGACCATAATTATATATTGTTCAAGGGGTATATATATATAGTGGTCAGAGACATGGGCGAAGCAGGTCAGAAAACTAGGGTGGTCATAGGTCGTTTGTTTTTCACGCCCCGACTCGCCGGTCGTGCCGGCGCACCCCGACTCGTGGAACCCCTGCTCGCTACTGGAAAGTTGGAGTGTTGGGACTCCCCAGGCCAGTTAGGTTGTCGAGCTCGTTTTCTAACAAATCAACTCCCTGGTGGTGGCCAATCTCTCTGTGTGTCTCTGTGTGTGTGTCTCTGTGTGTCTGTGTGTGTGTGTAACCCTTGGAATCATAGGGATCCTCTCAGATTGTTTTCGGCTTGAACTTTGTTTTCGGCTTGAACCTTGTTTTTGAAGCAGGGGAACTGGGCACTCTGTGACTGACCCAGTTCAACGAAGCTAGGTCACAGAGTGGGATATTCGGACTGATCATCCGAACGTACCTGCATTTTTCCAATTTTCCGCATGGCGTGAGGCTAAGCCAAGAACCTCAAAGACTTGGTACTTCATGTTGCTGCAGACATGCACGGCGCGACGTCAATTGTCGACTCGTCGATCGTCTTCTTCCTTTTGGGCCCTACTTCCTCTTGAAGACCTCCAGGATCCGTGGTTCGTACATGTACCCTTAGGAATTGGAACCCTAGGCCGGCGTGTGGCACCGCTTTCAGTTCAGTACACCCTATCCTAAGTGTGTTTGGCCTCGTGCCAACCCGGGATGAGCCCGCAGAGTGCCTCCCGTGGACCCGTCGAACGGGTGTATGTCCAACGTATCCCCTGCCCGGATACAGAGCAGCTCGCAGCGAGCGTAGGTGGCCTAGGCCGTACGTCCGATGATTTTTGTCCCAGCTTTGGAATTCCAAGTTGGCTTATGCCTGTACGTGACCGCAGCGGTCAGAGGTGGCAGCCCTCGGGCGAGCCGTACGTGGTCGCAGCGACCGAAGTTTGTTCAAGGTTCATTGGAACCTGTCGCGAGCTTAGTCCCCCCTCCTCCCCCTTCCCTTCCCCTTTCTTTCTTTGCTTTCTGGGGCTTTCCTGAATGGAATACTCAGGATCTCCCCTCTCTACAGTTGTTCGTAGCTGGGAACACCTTCCTTTCTCTCCTCTCCCTCTCTCTCCCTCTCTCTTTCTTTCCTTCTCTCTTTCCTCATCTTTCCTCTCTTTACCCTCTTCCTTGGGTGTCCCTGGATGCTTTCGTCATAGCTGGGAACCCTTTTCCTCTCTTCCTTTGGTGTGTCCCTGGACGCTTGTGTCGTAGCTGGGAACACCTTCTTCCCCTCTCCTTTCTTCTCTTTCTTTTTCTCTTCTCTCCCTACCCCTCCCTCCCGTCAGGACCTTAGTGTGGGTTGCTACTCGGGGCTCCTGGCCTTCCTACTAGGACGCTACTTTGGTGCTTCTAGGGGTTCCTGGCCTTACTACTAGGCGCAAGGACGCTCTAGGGCAGAGATGCCTCCCCTCGGGGAGGCGTGTGTGTGTGTAACCCTTGGAATCATAGGGATCCTCTCAGATTGTTTTCGAACTTTGTTTTCGGCTTGAACCTTGTTTTTGAAGCAGGGGAACTGGGCACTCTGTGACTGACCCAGTTCAACGAAGCTAGGTCACAGAGTGGGATATTCGGACTGATCATCCGAACGTACCTGCATTTTTTCCAATTTTCCGCATGGCGTGAGGCTAAGCCAAGAACCTCAAAGACTTGGTACTTCATGTTGCTGCAGACATGCGCGACACGACGTCAATTGTCGACTCGTCGATCGTCTTCTTCCTTTTGGGCCCTACTTCCTCTTGAAGACCTCCAGGATCCGTGGTTCGTACATGTACCCTTAGGAATTGGAACCCTAGGCCGGCGTGTGGCACCGCTTTCAGTTCAGTACACCGTATCCTAAGTGTGTGGGTGTGGGGGGGCATCACACGGAACGAAAGATGCCAACGGAAAACTTCAAGTTACTCCTCCAGGTCCTACCCCCCGCCCGCCCATAGGTTAGAACCAGGCCAAGACAATCCATGGACCTGACCTCTTCGCAGGGGTCACCGGAACCTAAACCCTTCCCATTCGAGATCCTTTGAGGGTCCGGATTAGGAAGCTGAGACTCGGTTCACCTGGAACCAACTCCTCAACTCCAAACCCGAACGACCCAGCTAGTGGCAGCTATCGGCTGTCAAACCAACCCCCCCTCTGAGGTGTGGGCTTGGCCTTGTGGGCGACGGTTTTGGCTGCCTTGCTGCTGCTGGTGGCCTATGCGCGCGAGCCCAAAGGCTCCGGGCCCGAGCCAAGGCTGTCTGGAGTAGATGACTTGAACTTCAGCGAGGTGAGTTATGAGCCGCTGGGATTCACGCGGGGCGGGAGATGGAGGTAAAACAACTTATTAAACTCATCGGTCACGTTTTTCACTTGTTGAGATGATTGAATGATTGATATATCATATGTGAGTATACACGCGTGTGTACATACAGGTGTAGAAATACAATGAAATTCATATATAAATACATAAGAAAATACACATATATATAGTATTGATGTTGAGGGCTGTATAAATCGTGGGTTCACTATCAAGAAGATTCGGCCCAGTTCCCAGAGTTGCTGCTCATTTCTTTTCAGAAGCACGGATCCGCCAAAGACGGGTTGAGTGGCAACCCCATGCCAGGAATGTCAGTGGTTGGCTTTTCAGGGTGCCCAGAAGCCAGTTGAATTAGCATGTGGTGACCGCTCAAGAATAGGTTGTTTTCTTGATGTTGTTTGCTACCATGCCCTGTGGGTTGTTCCTCCGACGACATGTCATGCAACAGATGGAGAGCTCCTGTTTGTGAGACCGTCTGCTCGAACACCCATGCTGGCCCATTTCCATGATGGCATGGGTTGAACACTATGAGGAAGACATCACATGGATACGTGGATGGCCTGGCCCCTTAGAGGACTAGTTTCCTATTGCGAGCAAGGGTTTTCCACTTCCATGTGAGTGAGTTGGAGGCTAGTCGGCATGCAGACTCTTTGTGGGTTCGGATCCCAGGGTGGCGCGGCGCCGAGTGAGCACCCCGCCCCTCTAGCCGCAGAGCTGTTGGCGAAGTGAGCGCTGGATGGGCCACCACGTGGATGGGCCATGTAGATGATTTGTGGATGTATTTCTGGGTTTCCATCGAGGAGCTAACTTCCTCAGCTCAACAGATTCAATAGCAGCCCTTTAATTGCTGTAAGCGATTAACTCGAGAAGCACGTCCAAGTAACAGATGAGCGCCACACCAGCAGGTTTACAGTCTGCCTGTGTGGTCAATTTCGTTCTGCGCGTCTCGCGGCGTTGCAGGGTTTCACTTGGGGGTTCACCCTCTCAGGGTTGAAGGACCACTGCCCCGTGAGGTTGTTCTCGGTTGCAGCCAGGGGCGTTCAAAAGCAGCGCAGCTTTCGGACGATGTGGCTCTCGGCTGCTTCGGGGCTCCAACATCCAAAGCACTTGCAGATCTAGTTTTCATGCACTTCCAAGAGGTCCTCAAGTAGAAATGGTCCAAGCAAGTGGTGCGGTCCGACCGATGCCCAAGCAGGGCGACCTCGTGGCTCGATCCGCGAGCCGCTCGGAGCTGGTCGGCTGGTGCAGCGGTACGACCCACAGCCTGGGTACGATCCCTGGATGCTGGGATCGGCTGCTTAAAGCTAAAGTGGCTAAGTCACAAACAACCCCATCATATGATCCCATGTGGCCATATGGCCCACAAGTATCGGCGGTGAGCCCATGGAAGACCGCTCATTTGGTCACGTCGCCGCGTGGTGGAACCCAAAGCAGGCACCAGCTTCCGCAGCCTCCAGCCCGACACAGGCGAGGAATTTCTTCGGCACTTGATGCTAGAATAATCTTTCTAATCTATATAATGCTATATATTAATTCGTACATGTTGGAATCAAGTTGGATCTAGTATCAGTTGTACTCACTTGTCAAGAGTTCATGTGTGCAAGTGCTTTTTGGTTGCCTTAGCTTCTGAGATCTCCTGAGGCACGGCAGCATGACACCACTTTATTTACACACCTTTTTCAGTCAGCCTGGGTCTGAACGTATAAAGTATATATATATATATATGTACACACTGCATGTAGGGACCCAGAAATTCCATCGCCCAAAGTGAAGATAACAATCATCTCGATCGGACCAATGGTGAAGCTTAACCAACTCCAGGCAACATGCTGCAACCGGCTACTCGTCCAAAGCGCAAAGTCAGGAGCTTTTGGTTGATGAACGTATCCATGAGCCGCGTGCAGTGGCCGAGGTGTGCTGCTTGGGTTTGTTTGGCTGGGGTGATGTGCTTGAAGTAGGTATTTTGTGGGGTTTGGCTCAGACAATCTGCAGAGGATCAATGCGTGTGTTGATCTTGCGGGCTTTTGGTAATCCTTCCTTTGCCTCCCAAGTATCTTGATTCGTCAATACCTTTAAATGACTTTTGTTCATGCTTGGGTGGTACCCACTTCCTGTTGCAGGTCGGACAGTTCTTGCAGTTCCCTCCCGGATTCAACGGCCAGCCACATCCGCCACGAAACACCCGGCCCATCCGTACGGGTCCATGTTGGTTTAGCGGAACAAGTAGCAGGTCCTACTTGGTGTCCGGAAGTCGAAGGAGTCCTTTGGGGCTGAAAGCCCAAGGTGGGCATGTTTGATGAGTGCTAGTATGAGTGCCACTCCAGAAAGCCAGACGAAACATGTTTAACTATTCAACATTTAGATGACTGACGTCTCAGGCGATGACCAGTTCTGGAGTTCGTAATCTATCGACATTTGGCAGTCGAGCTACTTCTGTATTGTGACACTTTCAGTGGATGGAGGGTCAACTGCTTCAGTTCCCACTGCTTCAGTTCCTCCCCCACCGACCCGACCGTCTGCCACCGACCGCGTGGTCCAACCTCCGACCACCACGTGGTCCGCCGCAGGCAGCGGTGGAGGGCGTGGAGCTGAAGGAGTTGGTGGAGCCGGAGCCAGCACCAGGGCTTCAAGAGAGACAGGAGACACCACAGACACCAGGGCCCCAGGCACCGGAGGCACAGGAGGCACCGGAGCCGAAAGAGCTGAAAGAGCTGAAAGAGCCACCGAAGGACGGGAAGGATCGGGGAAGGGGATGGGATGGTTTGATATGGTTTGGGCAGAGAAGTGTTGCAGGTTTTGCATGGTTTTGCGGGGACGGCACTTTTGGATGATGGAGGATTTTGTTTGGCCCGTGTGAATGTGGAATGATATTGTTCGCTGTCGGCCCTGTGAATGTGCAATAGGTAAGCTTACTGCAGAGTAGTCTACAAGGATTCAAGAAGAGTAATTACTCAGGGTCAACCATTTCAGATGAGGTTCTTGGAGCCCACAGTCAGTACAGTTTTTCGCGTTTGAACCACCTTAACTTTTCTTGGCTCGCCCTGTTTTTATGGAGTGTGACGGTGGAGTTTGGCTGTATACTGGATACTTCAATGCATGTTGAGTGTCCATCATATTCAACTCAAAGGAGACACCTCATGTTTTCCCATGCCACTGGCTTTAAACCGCCTTCTCCGCAGGAGAGCCAGGAGATCTTTGCGCGCCACGATGATGGGGATGGCTATTTGTCTCGCGAGGAGTTGGACCGTCTCAAGGCATGTTATTTTTTGGGGAGAGGGAAAGGTGAAGGAAAGCAGAGGAACACGGAGAGGAGTTGTTTGAAGACAGCAACAACAAACCAACAACATCAACAACCCAAGAGCTGTTCTTGCATGGGGTGCTTGAACACCCACCTGACTGGTCAAGTTCTCCATGTTTCCCCAACGGAATCTGCATTTCTGCAGGCTGACACCAGCCTGGAGGCGGGGTGCCAAGAAGGATGCCAAGGGCACCAGAGAGCGTGATGTGTCGTTTGTTGCGCCCTGAAGGTGCCGCTTCACTTGAGATACGGATTTTTCTGGAAAGTCATGTTGCAAATTAGTGAGGCATTCTTCCTTCCAGCTGGCTTCCATAGTCGTGAGACATTGTTCTCAAGTTCCTCTTCCATTTTTTCCACACATCTCTTATCCAACAACGAAACAAGCCCAACACCAACTGTCTGGTTTCAATCCCGTTCCAGCATTCTTCTTTGGAGAGCGCCATGAAGCCAGCACCGAAACATCCCTTCGGAACGTTTTGAAGACGGGAAGCACCTTCGTGCTGTTGATGTTCTCCCGCGAATCATGCAATGCCAAACTTACCCCCACAGATATCTACAGGTTGCAAATTTCTTCTGCATTAATTATATTGTTGAAAGCGATCCCTTTTTCAGAGTTTCTTAAGTTCCTTCGTGTTCCTTCTTTCCTTCCCACATTGCACGAACATCTCCAGCTGGACTTCGACCGGCTGGACGCGGATGGCGACGGCCTCATCAGTCAAGAGGAGTTGGCCAACGCCATGGCCGGGCCGCGGCCGGCGGCGGGCGCGTTGCGCGAAGCAGGGCGCGGAATCGAATGGATCAAGTGATCAAGTGATCAAGAGGGTTCAGAAGTTCTTGTTCTTTACTGTATATTTTTTAATTATTGGGTGTAAATTGCGTGTATTATAATATATATATAACACGAATGGTGTGCGCAGGGATTTCAGGGTTTCTGTATTGTATATATATGTTTCTGCGATACCATTGCCAAACTTTTGGCCAAGGGCCCAGTTGGTCACAGCGACCCTGTTTTTCACTATCTCAAGCGTCGCTCTTCAACTTGTGTAGGGTCGTGCAAGTGAAAGAGGCTACGGATCCATGCTTGTTTTAAACTCCTGGCAATTCTTCTGGGTTCGCTGTGGTGTTTTTTGGGATCGAACTTTCTGCTTTACTTGAAGACTTGGGCCAGGATTGGGACGCCATCGGGCCAGCAGTTGACGAGGCCAGGGATGCACAAAGAGCAGGTCACCACACCTTGGCATACATATAAAACACCCGAAACTCTCCGGCAAGGCAGGAATCGAACATGTTTCCTTCTTCGCGCGTGTCTGGAGGTGCCCGGCTGAGACGCATGTAAAAAGACGAAGATGACCGACCGATCCGCGGCAGATTCATGGGAGATTTGTAGATTTTTGGCCGTTCGGCGCAACACTACAGTAGCCAGCCTCCACAAGGGTTTGGCTGAAGCCAGCGACCACGCAAGACCCCACTCATCCGACACCACACACACACACACTTAGACAAGGTTTCAAGGTTCATCCAATGCCATAATCCAGGGAAAGGCATGCTGCAACGGAAAGGTGGCTGAGTCCGTGGAACACGAATGTTTGAACACGGGTGGTTTCACTTGGGCTGTTGTAATAACCCCGCGCTCAGCGGTTTAGTATTGGCATGCACCTTAACACTACTAATGCATTCCTACCCCAGAAAACGATAAGAGCAAAAAAACAACGATAACAATGATTATACCTGCACATTCAGAACAAAAAGCTACTAGGGGCTCCTGGCCTTACTGCTAGGAACAAGGAGCTACTAGGGACTCCTGGCCTTACTACTAAGAACAAGAACAAGAAGCTACTAGGGACTCCTTGCCTTACTACAAAGCAACATCGCTACCAAGAACAAGAAGCTCTTAGGGGCTCCTGGCCTTACTGCTAGGAACTGAATGGTCTGTTTGGTCCATATGCTGCAGCTGTTTACATGAACCACGAAAATGGCAACCTGCAGAGGTGTCCGGAACGATAACAAAACGATAACGAAAACGATAAGGAAATGCAGCAAAAAGCAGCCCTGGTGGGCAAGTACCCATTTGACTGTTTTCATTAGACCTTTTGAAGGCCAGAAGTGTGCGATGTGGTAGTCTTGTTTAGTTGTCTATATCAATATCTGATCTTTGCTGCTGCCATGTCTTTACCACCAAAGACGGTGTACGCCTTGGTACAGGCAGTGCCACGGGATCCTGAAGTAGGACCACGTAGACCACCAAGTGACATCTTTTGATTTGTGATATTCCACCAAAGATGCTTTGATGCTTTCACCTGAGAAAACGATAAGAGTAAAAAACGATAACATGGTTTCGAGGTATTGCAAAAGACACGGGGTTTTTACAACACCCCACTTGACTGCAGAAGCTCTCAGCGCTAACGCGGCTGCACATCGGTTTAGGGGGAGTATCGTGGGGAACAACCATGCAAGCAAACACAAGCGGTGAAAATTGGAGCCTTGTCATCTGCAGGTACACGGAGCTGATCAGGCTCCGCTTCCCCCTCTTGTCCACAGCCTCGTTGCGTGTGGTAGGACAAGAGGGCCACACGCCCCTGCTTGATATGTTCAAAGAGAATGAAACTCCTGGATACGGAGTGCGACACACTTAGACAATGGGTGCCCGCATCTCAAGCCAAGACCGCCTGAGCATTGGCTAATCTCCTACTACTGATGATGGTCAACTAGGCTTCAAAGATTGCAGAAACACTGACTGCTCAAAAAGAAAACATGACTGGCAAGGGGCATGCCCCCATGCACTTTCCATTCACCACCTACTTCCAGTATCATCTGATGAACACGGCCATCCAAAAATTGAGCTGTCATGGCTAAGGCTGTCTGCAAAGTCAATGAGTTGATGTCAGTGTTGGGCTGGATAGTGGCCTTTTTCACAGCTGGTACCTGTCAGCCACAACTCCAAACTGCCTGTCAGACATGGTGGTGACAGCCACCCAGCCTGTTTCCGCTGCTTGCCAATGGATCTCCGGACAATGGTCTTGGCAGGTAGCAAACGCCTGCACTGGCCTGGTCCTCCGGTCTCTCGGAAAAAGGCCACCAAGGCACTGGCCAAGCAAAGACCCTGGTGCCCTGTGCCCCGGACCCACCGGAGAAAGAACTCTGCAAGCCTGACCAAACCAGGCCAAATGTTGGGTTTAACTCTGTTCCACGAAGAAATGAATGAGGGAACGGAACGGCGATGGAGTCAGCTCACTTGAAAAGTTGAAAACACTTTTTGCGCATGACTGCAGAACGCGGCGGTGGCGAGCTCAGCTGCAGGAGAGGGTTTTTGAGGAGTATCATGCAAACCACCATGGAAGCAAAAAATCGAGAATTGGACAGCGTGGTCAATAGTTCCGGTTGCAGGTGCACGGAAGTGATCAGCTTCCGCTTCCTGGGATCTTGCAAAGAGCTTCGTTGGGCAGAGCCTTGCAAGTCCTCTCTGCCCCCCTGCATGTCACAAAAACTTCTTGGGACGGAGTGTGACACACACACACACAGAGCGCCGATATCGGCGCTCGAGAGAAAAGACTAACCACCTAAAAAGCCTTAGAAAGGAAACGGAAAGACAGAAAGAGACACGCAAAGGGCAAGAGAGAAAGATAGGTGTAGTATGGCGTAGTTACGAGGCCCACTAGTTACGAAACCTTCTAGTTACTGAATATTTAGCCGCAAGAGTTAAATGCACTAGTTTGGCGAGCGGGACATTAGTCTTAAACCGCTCGGGTAGTTGGAACTAGGGCAGGAGAAACAGAAGGAAAGGCACCGACACACAAGTGTGTGGAGTACCATTTGCTTCTGTTACCCTAGATAGCGGGTGGGATAAAAGTGTGAATTCGCGTGCAAGGTGGTGTGTGTGTGGCACATATATATGACCGTAAACCCGGCGGCTGTCGAATCTCCGTAAACTCGGCAGTGTTGTGGCAGGAAAGTCATTGGGTGAAACAAAATTCATCAGACCAGAATCCATGATGGCGGCACTTCGAGTCAGAAAAACGGTAGTCCGGAGTGGCTTCAGCGCCTCTCTTGCGAGAGGATCACACTCTGCACCCAGTGGGACGACAGAGCGGCACACACTTAGACAATGGGTTTGCAGTTAACTCTGTTCCACGAAGAAATGAATGAGGGAACGGAACGGCGATGGAGTCAGCTCACTTGAAAAGTTGAAAACACTTTTTGCGCATGACTGCAGAACGCGGCGGTGGCGAGCTCAGCTGCAGGAAAAAGGTTTTTGGGGAGTATCATGCAAACCACCATGGAAGCAAGAAATCGAGAATTGGACAGCGTGGTCAATAGTTCCGGTTGCAGGTACACGGAAGTGATCAGCTTCCGCTTCCTAGGATCTTGCAAAGAGCTTCATTGGGCAGAGCCTTGCAAGTCCTCTCTGCCCCCCTGCATGTGACAAAAACCCCTTGGGACGGAGTGTGGCACACACACACTCTGACAATTGTATTCAGTTATCTCGATTCCCACGTTGGGAAGGAAGGCGATGGAACGGAAAGGTGCATAAGTCAGCAAAACAGTATGGTTGAAAAATGTTTTCGAAAGCGCTCAAGTGAAAGCGGCGTTCAGCAGCTGCAATGCGGAAGGAAAATGGTTTGTGGGAAGTATCATGAACCACCATGGAAACAAAAAAGGAGATTGGACAGCGTGTGCAAAAGTTGTGGCAGGTACACACCAAAGCGTCCTCTGGTGCTTCCCCTGTCACATCCCAGCTTCGTTGGGCCAGGTTGGATGTGACAGGCCTGGCCCCCCTGCATTCAAAACTCTTAGTTACAGAGGTGGAACCCTTAGATACAGGGGGTGACACACACAAACCGCCGATTCCGGCGCAAGTGTGTAGAACGTTGGAGGTGGAACTTTGTACAGAAAGCGCCAATATTGGCACTGTGAAAAACTAATAGCCACCTAAAAAGCCTTAGAAAGACAGACAAAGCAAACAAAACAAAAGCAGACTAAGAGGGCAAGAAAGAAAGATAGGGGTAGTTACGAGGCCCACTTAGTTAAATGAAAGTAGAGCGCGAGCGGGACATTTGTCTTAAACCGCCCGGGTAGCTAGCAATAGGCTAGGAGAAACAGAAGGAAAGGCACCAACACACAAGTGTGTTGAGTGCGTTTTCCTTCTGTTTCCCAAGTAGCGGGTGGGGTAGCAACGGAGGCCCAGGGGTAGGGAGGGGAAAAAATGCACGATTAATTCCTCCGGCCTGTGAATACTTAGCAGCACATGCACATGTGAATACTTAGCCGTTGCAAGCGTCTTGAAAATGTCAGTTCCCGTGGTGAGGCCCGGCGGCCGTTGTGGCAGTTAATTCGGTGGTTGTGGCAGTGACTTCCAGTGGAGTTCCTGTGAAAGGTGGTGAGATCAGTTATTGCTTGCACGATGAGACAGCGCCCCAATGGCGGGGATCACACTCAGCACCCGAGTGGGACGGCTGAGCGAAACACACTCTGACAATTGTATTCAGTTATCTCGATTCCCACGTTGGGAAGGAAGGCGATGGAACGGAAAGGTGCATAAGTCAGCAAAACAGTATGGTTGAAACATGTTTTCGAAAGCGCTCAAGTGAAAGCGGCGTTCAGCAGCTGCAATGCGGAAGGAAAATGGTTTGTGGGAAGTATCATGAACCACCATGGAAACAAAAAAGGAGATTGGACAGCGTGTGCAAAAGTTGTGGCAGGTACACACCAAAGCGTCCTCTGGTGCTTCCCCTGTCACGTCCCAGCTTCGTTGGGCCAGGTTGGATGTGACAGGCCTGGCCCCCCTGCATTCAAAACTCTTAGTTACAGAGGTGGAACCCTTAGATACAGGGGGTGACACACACACACACACACGTCACACGCACACGCTCAGTAAGTGGGGTCGGCAGATTTGTAACTTTGCTGCGACAAGCAAGAAATCAGTGTCATGCGATGTCAAGCGGTAGAGGGAAATTGCCTCCCCATGGCTGGCGTGGGAACCCAACGCCTGGACTGGCCGTATGGTTTGTTGTTTCGTGTGCGAAGTCGCCTTCGCACCTGTGGTTTTCTCTTTCGAATTCTTCAGTCGCCTGGGACGTCACCCACCCATCGATGCGGCTTACGGAGTGGTTCTTCTCTTTGTCAGGCTCCTCCGGAGCCAGGCCAGCTAGGCCCACTGCAGGACGCGGAAGCGGATGGGGGGGTGGGTAGGGTGGGGCATCTCAGGCTGTTAGTGTAAATATAGGTTGTTTTTTTGTGTGGAGTGGAGGTGTGGGTAGTTCACATGGACCGCCATCTAGTATATTATGATAGTTTGACCGTGGACGGTGCATTTCTGTCAAGAGTTCCTTGGAAAAACTAGGCCCTCGCCCAGACATTGCCCATACATCTCTATCGTCAAGTCTGTTGTTGTTGTTGTTGCTGTTGTTGTTGCTGACGTCGGCTGTGCCATGGCTGCCATTGTCCCCCCACTTCCTCTTGGGTTTCTAAGAAACACGTGCATGCACCCGTGAGACGGTAGGTTGACATTGCTTACTTTTTTGGCTCTACTATTTGGTCAATTCATTTCAGCAGGTTCATCCAGGCTCACTTGCGTTCAAATTCGCCTCAGCTGTCATGCATCCCCGCTCCTGTTGCTCCCAAAGAGGAGCTCTATCGTGCCTATGCGGGTTCTGATGGGCTTTTGTCCCGCTTGGAGCTGCAGCAGATGAAGGCAAGAGATTTGGCCCTAAAGCATCCCCTCAACGCATCTCAACTGGGTCTGGAATGGGTGACCCCCATGGTCTGACAGGCAAAGGTCCAATATGGGCCATGTATCTCATTGACTCATTGTAGACGTTTTTGGAAGCCATTGTGGCACAGAACTTTTGGATCAATGACAGGTCCTCAATGATGGATGGCATGAATCTACCCAGATTCTGCTTTTAGGTCTCCTTTTGACGGATCTCTCTCATCTCCTTGGCTCGCTTTCTAATGTGCGAGGACTATGATGGATTGACCCCTGCGTCAAAGGCTGAAAGAATTGTTTGCCAATGCAGCTTTTAACATGACCTTTGTAAACATACTCTGGCATACCAAGAACGATAAACTTGTGGGAGCCAGAGTTCCAAAATTACATAAGCCCAAGTCAATATCACGTAAGCAAGGTCTAGGATCACCCTGAGTCGAAGGCTGACAGAATTGTTTGCCAATGCATTTTTTTCAAAGTAGACCGTTGTAAACAGACCCTGGCATACCAAGAGAGATAAGCTTGTGTGAGCCTGAGCCAGGGTTCCAAAATTACATGAACCCAAGATTCCCATAGGACATCTCACTCGGACTGGGAACAAGCTTTTCAGCCAAAAAACCGGGATGGAAACCTAGGAAGCAACTTCAAAACTGGCTGGATGCATGAAAACTTTGACGGGGAGATCGGAGGCATAGGCGCCTCCTATATGGGACAGGAACCCATCAAAAAGACAGACAGATGATAAGAAACGCGGTTCCAGATGCCTTTCAGTTTTTCATGAGTAATTAACATGAGTTAACGCAGTTACTTCCCCACTTCACTTGCTATTGCAACGCAATCCAGGCCTGGCTTGAAAAATGGTCCCCTTAGAGCCTTAGAGGTGTCATCAGCATTCATCAGCAGTCGTTGACAATTTCCACGGCAGCTTTTGCCTCTCGCAGCTAGTTCGTGTGCCCAGGGGGAGAATGCCCGACTACAGGAGGCCACTGGTTGCGGATATGTTTGTCGCACAACTGTTCAGACCATTTTTGAGATGCAGCTTTGGATCCACATCAAGGTTTCAACTGAAATCACCCTGGAGGGTCTTTAAGACAGGTCCTAAAAACCCTATGTTCCAAGAGAGGCTGCTCGAGGCGGATGTCAACTGCTGCTTCGTCAGCATCACACAGTAAATCTCAGAGGTGTGGAGCCCCACTCGGGGCCCTCGGCTCTTCCTGCCTGCAGCCACAGGTGCCAAATAGCTGCTTGCCTAGTCTGATGCCTTTATATAAAACGTTTTTAACACACTTGGACTGGTGTGATTCCAGTCCACGCAAGAAGTCCGCTGTCCTTCTTCCGTTCTCGGTCGAGATGAGAGACGCCAACCGATCAGTTGGACCTGGAGAAGTTTGATTTGGATGGCGATGGGATTGTGACACAGGAGGAGTTCGCACGCGCGCTGGTGCACCTGACATGTGGTTTTGTCGCGTGGTGAGTGGTCTGTCGCGTGGTGGATTTTTTGGCAGGAAGAGCTTGAAAGATGCGGGGAGAAGATGGTAGAAAACCGTTGTCCAGACTGGAGGCCACTGGCCTGTGAATATCAGGAAGAACTTTCCCGTCTGGGGAACAAGTTTCCCCACTATCCATCCGATCGGAGTGGGCTGCGCACCGCACCAGGATTGGGATGCCGTGGACGAGGTCCATCCCGAGGACGTGGCGGGAGGACGGTCGTGGCCGGAGGACGGTCGCGGCTCGAAGTCTTTCCTCCACGGCGATTCAAGAAAAACCCATGCCTCTCATCGAGTTGAGTTCCAATTTCTGAGCAGTTGACTTACAAATCGATAAAAACCCCCAAACCTCACCAATGCTTCTTTAGGCTGGCCGGGGCAACAGCCAACGTCTCCACAAGATCCCATGTTCGATTGCCCAGCAGATTAGATTGGGAGTTTGCCCGTCGCTTCAGGTGCGTTATATTGTTTCCAGGATCGGTTTCCAGGATCGGTCGGGATTTTTGCATTATATAGTACTGCATGAACACGGCGGCCTGGGTGTGTACTTGCCTCTCTGCCTCTCTTCGTCCAGCAGCGTTAGTTTGCAGGCCGCTCCGAGTGGGGGGACCCCAGACGGAGGACAGATGTGGACAGGACCAGTTCTGAAATTGCCGGTGCTGGTGTTGTAACACGTGGATTGGCCCAAGATGCCGCCACTTGGGCCATCTTGGGCCAATAAAGGCCATTGAGGTGAAGCAAAGGGGTTTTTGGTGAACTGCGTTTGACTGACCGGTTAGATTTTGTGGGGTTGGATTCATAAGACCGATCACCGGTGCTCCAGCGGCTCAAGCATGGTGCTGCAGCGCTTGGGTTCCGCCACCGCTTTGGTGCCAGTGCTGGGGCCCTTGGTCGAGGCCCAGCGGGCGTCGAAGGATGGGGACCGCATTGGTACCGGCCTGGCCCTGGCGCAGCTAGCGCTGGACGTGGGCGGCCTCGCCGGCCCAGCCCGTTTGGGCGCCCGCGCCGCGCGTGGAGCCGTGGCCGCGCGGGGAGCCGCGGGGCTGGGGCAGGTGCTGAAGCACACGCTGAAGCGCAAGGCCACAGACTGGGCCACGCGTCGTGCACGTGAGGCGCAGGTGAAGGTGAGCTTGACTGCGCTGGCGGCGGCGTTGGAGATGCCCAAGTGCCGACGACTCTTGTCCAATCACTTCAATCTGCCGTTGGATGAGCCTCCATTCTCGCTGGTCGCCTCTGCAGATGCTCGGCTCCATGCGATCCTGGCGCGTCAGGTCTACCGGCCACCAGGCGAACGTCGTGGACTGCGGGCCAGCTTGATGGAAGTGCAAGGGGTCAGCAAGCCAGGTGAGTTCTGGTATACCTATGTGGCTGGCACGGAGCGGCGTGGCTTCTGGTTTTGCCCGGATCATGGAGGGCATTTGACCCCTGGCGTCCCCACAAAGCATTTTTCTCACAGCCAAAACTCACGCCTTGGCCATTGCTGTTTGCTGTAGCACGAGGGTCACGACCACGGGAAAACTTGGCATTCTCTGTGGGTGTAAACGGTAGACTCTGATGATCTTTCACTGACTGATTGTGAGAGTCCCGGAGCCTCCAGGGTTGTTGGATGAACATGTTGGTCACACATGACAGAGGTACCTCGGTACCACGGTGTTTTGGTCAACTTTCATTGAGGGAACCCATTATTTTCGGCAGATCATCTAAAAGCTACACATGTCACATCGCTACCATTAGCTACCAATTAAAACAAGAAACGTTATGTTTTGCATAATATTATTACGTATAATATATTTCTATTTCATACGGCATCGACATCAATTGTGATAAGATTCCTCAAAGGTCACCTGGCGGTTCACCTACACCTTGAAATTCCAACAACCATTGTCTGAATGGTCTTGGCCAAACAGCTATTGTTTTGCTTATCAGGTTTTTGACACTACAAAGGCAGGTGAACCATTCTCTTAGTATCTCTTAGTGGTCTTTGAAGGCGAACGGATCTCTTCCAAACCCATCCATCAGGGTCCTCGCCGAGCGCGGCACCCGCCTGCCCGACGGAGTCGACCTCGCCGTCGACCTGGCCATTGCCAGTGGCTCCACCGCGCTCGCGGGCGCACGCGCGCGCGACGCGCGGCGGGCGCTGGCGGCGGAGCTGCGGCACCACGGGCCCTGCGCGCGCGTCACGGGCACCGGGCATTCGCTGGGCGGCGCAGTGCTGGGGAAGCTGCTGACGGAGCTGAATGGGGTGGCCTGGAGAGAGAGTCGGGGAGGGACTTGCCGGAGTTCCGTAGTTAAGGAGAAGGATGGTGTAGATGTAAGAAATGGAATTGTGTGTCATGACCTGAGTGAGATCAGTGTGCTTGGATAGCTTGGAAGATGCTGATGACAAAGGCTCAATGATGCTCAATGCATTTGTCATCATTTTGTTGTACGTGGTTTCCAACGACGATGCATATCCAAGGTCAAGAGTCAAGACATGTCAAGACCAATTTCGTTGGACCTCTGCCCTATGCAGAGTTTGCACGCTTGCCAGGATGGAATGTCCATTACGAGTTTGACCATGATACGGTCCCTGAGGTGCACTGAAAAACCCGCATACAGCACGTGACCATACGTATGCCAATCCCCGCCCTCCCGCCCTCCACCCACCAAACTGGTCGTTGGCCCGTTGGATGTTGACAGTCACTGAGGTGCACCTCTTCAATCCCGGCGGCTTGCCAGACTTGGAGCGATCCTTACAAGTCTCGCTGTCCTGCGATCGTGCGCAGGTGCAGGTGCATCGAATCGCAGGAGATGTGATCTCCGTCGGCTTCCTTCCGGAGCATCAGCAGCAGCTCAGCCAAGCAAATCATTCGAATGATGAGACTGTTCATGGAGGACTTGCATGCCATCCAGGGGGGATGGATGAGCACTCATGATGGATGGGCTCAAGATGGCTCAAGCCTTCCTCACTTGATTATGGACCCAATTCTGCACTAGCCAGGGTCTAGGTGTCCTAGCCATTAATAAAAAGGGAGCTGTCCAGACAGGACCAATTCGAACGGAGGGTCCTGGGAGGGATGCCATCAGACATACGCCTTGTTACGCCATGTCACGCTAGGAGGGACGGTCCGGACCGTCCTCGTGGACGTTCCTGGTTTCCAGGCCTAGCTGATGCCTCTTTTTCTTTTCCTCATGCCTGGGTGAACGAGTCATGTGCAAAATCATGCACCCGGGTGAACGGAACATGCCGAGGAACTACTCCAAGACTCATGGTTTGGAAGCGAGACCTGCCCACAGCTTGGCACATTTCCTGCCTGCCGACCAGTTGGGCCACATGGAATTGGACGGAACGACCCGAACGCCCGTGACCGGCGCCTGATGACGGCGACCGGCGAGGCAGACCCGGCACTGTCCGCGCATGAAGATCATGAAGAACGCCGCAAAGAAAACGATGTTCACTCGGTTTGGTGCGCGGAAAGGTGCAGGTTTACTGGGGCTGAAACCTGGGACTTGTGGGAACGGGCTACCAAGCCACGCCCAACAAAAAGGATACTGTATTTGCAGTGATCACGTCCCATCACGTCCCCTTTGTAACAGGTCATGGCTGGCCATGCACTCCGGGAGGCAGACTCCTGGAGCTTCAAGATGTTTGAGACTATGCGACCACGCAACTTTGGGCGTTGGCCGGGGATGGCTACAATTCATCACTGTTTCAAGCACATGTTTGGCAAACCCAGCCATGAAACCAACCACGGGGTGGAGCCTCACAACCTGTTGGGTCGCTGGGTGGTGCCCGCTCCCGGACTAGTTGCCAAAGACCGGTGGTCACCGGGCATTGGAAGGCTTTGGGAGTCGAAAGAAAGGGTTCGCAGTAGGGTTCACGTATAGGAAAGGGATGGTAGGTCCAAAGGGAAATGGGAAAACGCTTGAAACAGCATCGTGAAGAACCTTGCTCCCAATTGGTCTCAGTGCTGCTGAACCATTCGTTGCTCCGACGCGCTTTGCGCGTTGGCGCATCCTCCACGTCCTCCACTTTACCGGCTCAGCCGTACGACTTTTCCAAAGGGAAGCACCGGCTCGGCCAGAAGCATCCACAGGCTATACAAAGGTATGCTATACATACCGCAGGCTATACAGTAAATCGTAATGGTATGTAAAGGTCCATTGGTCTAGGAGTCTAGCAGCGGGCACGCTGGGGCAGTTGACCGAGACTGGCCGGTTACAAGCACTGGTTGCAACAATTCACTCATAGAACAGTCATCCGGGGGATTTCAAGGGATTTCCAAGGATTTCCATGTGGATGGTCAATGTGAAGTTGGTGGTTTTGGGTCATTCATAAGTATGATGACAAATACCAGGCAAAGCCACTCCCCCCCTGGCTTCACAATGCCAAATTATCCCAATGCATGACAGTGCCACGATGCCCACGCCTTGCTCCCGTTTAGCAAGGTCAAAGGTCTTCCACCAGTGAGCCTTGGTGGAATTCCACTTTTCGTTCAGGGGGTCGAGGTGAGGATGCAGGATGTGGTGGGTTCTGGTCGCCAGGTTGGCAGATGTTGGCAGACGGTGGGACGGGTTGAACCAAGGCACTAGGGATGTCGTGACTGGTGACAGGTCCCTCAATGGACTAGCGACTAGGTTGGACTCGTGACGAGAGCACAAGCAAATGAAGCTGGGACATAGAGTTGGGAAAAGAACATTAAAAAACATATTCCCATGGAATTAATTCGTCAAGAACACTTTATATCAGAAGATCCCCTATCCTTCCACACCCCTTTGCGGCCATGTGCATGAGTGTGATGTGGGGACATCTTCGGGCAGAGGTGGCTTTTCGGGGCACTCGTTTGGAGGGGCACTAGTTGAAACCACATCCCTCAGCATTGGAGATCCGACCTCCGGAGTTACAAGACGGGGTGGTGGTGCTGTTTAGTCCCATCCAGGGCTCGTGGATGTGGGTCTGGGCACCTAACTCTCCGAACTTCCAGGGCACCGCACCCTGTCCTCCATGCAACTGCTGGTGCGCTGTTCTTTGTTCAACAGGTTCGGGTCGCCAGGACTGACATCCTTTGTGTCACTGAAAAAAGACTTTGGGAGATGTCCTGAAACACCTGGAAAACATCACATCAGATAGCAAGTGATTGTCAAATGACAGCGGAACATCTATGAGAACATGCGAACAAGCTGCGTGCAAAGCCCTTTACAGCTATGGATAGAGCTATGGTTTGCAGATGGCATTGTAGAGTGGCCTTCAAGTTTTGTTTTGTTCTTACTGGCTGGCCCGGTGTCGTGACTCTTAACATCACATTGGGGATCAATCCCCCCCATTGGGAATCAATCCCCCCTTAGCCCATTCAATAGGATCTAAGAGGGATTCTTTTCATGGATGGACTTGGCAGTGAATGATACAAAATCACTCGGCTGCCCCCGCACCAGTGACAGCGCTAGAACCAACATGACATAATTTATACCTTTACTATCCTTTACTACTCTTGAGATCTCTTGACTGTTCTGCTGGGTAGGGAGATCACGCGTCCCAAACGCTGGAAGATTAGGCCAAGTTGATGAGCGTCATCAATGTGCAGAAGCAGTCACGCCGGGGTTCCTGGGTAAGTTTGATGGGTCATTGAGGAGGAAAGGCACCAGAACTCAAAACATATCAACAATTGCATGGTTATGCAACTGGGCACGGTCTTGGACGGGAGGTCAACCTTTTGTTGGAAGGTCTTTGGGAAGGCCATGGATCGGAGCTCGCTGAGCTCGGTGCCCCAAGGTTCGTTATTTTTTCTTCAGGAAGCACCAGGATCCTATAGTCCTATACCTGGAAACCCCAACAACCAGAAACAAATGGTTGTTCCGGCCATTGAAATCCTTTACATAGGACATAGCCGGGACTGGGGAAACATCCATGGCCCTTCTGGTTGTTGGGTTTCCCAGGTCGTTGTCTCACCCTGTGAGATCCAACTTCTAAGAACTCCACATGTGCATCGTCGGTGAAACCGAACCGGTTTCGATCCTTCGGGCGGTCAGAAGGTCCTTCGGACTCCCCGGTCGAGCACAGGAGAGGCCTTCGAGCGGGCGCGACCTGCTGCGAGTCGGGCAGCCTGGAGATGACCATGCTACCAGGGTGGGTTACAACACCAACCTGCAGCATTCAAGGGGTCAATGGAAGAAGAGATAGTAGTGCAGGATCCTCCCTTGGTGATCCCTTGGATGGTTCGGATAATCAGATACATGGTTCAGATAATTTTTTGCTCTTCTCACAGGTGTTTAGGGAAGATGCTCTACTTTAAATTTGTTTTGCAGTCATAGTGTTGCTGATCTGATGTATTCCCCAGCGATCTATTTGCTCCCCAAGCCCCCCGGAGCCAATTCCAGAAATTACTTTGGGGCGCGGAATTTGAATGCAAAACAATCCTCAAGTAGTTCCAAGCAAAAATTGGTGGGGGACTGATATCCGACTATCCGAGGCCGGAAGGAGAAGCGAAAGGCCAAGAGGCGCATCACATGTTGCGGGTTTTCGCGCCGTGTTTGTTCAGGCAGGTGTTTGGACGCACGGAGTTTGGGCGGCGGCGTGGTTTTGGTGTAGGAGGATGTAAAGAAGGGAGGATTGCCGTGGAGGCCGTAGAGGGTGATTTGTCAGTGGCCTGGTCCTAGTTCTAAACTTAAAGGTAATTAACAAAAAAAGTTAATGACAAGCAGTTAGGGTATGTTAGGGTATGTCTTTTTTTGTGGGTTTGTTTGTTCCCAAACGTGGGTGCGGTCATTGTGCGGAGGGTAAATTTGAGTCCTTCAATTCATACGGGGGTGGTGTACTCATGCTCAACTAGACGAAGAAGGCTTTTCATGCACATTCTAATGCCATGGTGGGGGCAATCAGAGGCGCATCGCGACATTCCAATCCTTGGGATTGGGTTCTTAGACATAAACCGGGAAGCCACCTTGGATTCTTCCCCGAAGAGTTGTTGTTGAACTGTTTTTTGGGCAGGCAGGTGGTCATCGCCTCATAGTGTTTTAAAAACAAGGATTCCAACCAGCAGCAATTTATATGAAGGTAAAAGAACCATAAACATCGGATCCGCTGACGTTAATCGTGGAAAACAACCATGTTTTTCAATATCGTCATATGCAGCAATTTTAAATATCGTCATTTCAATATCGGATCCTTCCAGTCCCGTGGCGGTACACCCTTTGCGCCACCCACTGGACGTCCCACTTGGTCTCCAGGAACCTCCAGGCCGCGGGAGCCGGAACTTGGAGCGACCCACTGGGAATTGGCTGGGTGGAGAACCAGGGAGAGGTTCCCCAAAAGTGGGATCTTCTATTGGGATGCCACTCGGGTGGTGTTTTCTGATTTACAGGATTGGACATGGTTTGTTTCTCCCACTCCCGTGGCGCTAGAGTCTTGAAAGAACACAAACGAACATCTCCATCGACCGGGGGAATGACCGGCATCCCCAACATGCGCCCCAAAAAAGGGCCGCTAGCCCTGATTTGCCACACCAAATGTTGAATTGGTATGAATTGGTCGAACGACCCCCAAAGAAAGGGCACCCGTTTGGGACGACGAGACTTCGCACACCACCCGGAACCGCTCACCGCGGCAGCGCTTTGTGAAGGGCCCGGCCTGCGAGGTGCGCACGTCCAGGCCACGGTGTGGAGCATGTCGGTGGATGAGGTGAGTTGAGATGAATTGGGACGGGCCGGACGGGCGTTTTGGCCCGGTGTTGGTTGAAAGGTGCCCAATAAGCCAGCTATGGCTATGGCAGATTATATATTGGGAACAATCTGTCAGCCATAATGATCATCAATCATGGTTTCAAAGAGGGTCTTTGACACTCCGTCACTTTGAGTACGACAATGATATGTGTATTAGGTCGTAGCACTTGCCGCGGATCTAGCACTTCTGAACATTTCGTTGTTGACCGGCATTGCGATATGCCACGAGCTGCCATGACACCTCGGCAGGCACGAGGAAGCTGGCAGAAGGTCAGAAGGTTTACCAGAAGCTCTTGGTGATCCTTCTCCCAGCATTCCGTTGGGAACACCCAACTTGACCGGTGAGAGAACACAAGCAGAAGACGATGAGCCCGCAATGAGTGCCCCGAGGAGATCTCTAGAGGTGCCTGCCGCATCTCCTGTCGAGCCAGAGCTGAAACCAAGGCTTTCGAGGCAGGGGTTGAGAAATAACGGGATGGGTTTGGAGATGTTAGCAGGAACATGCAGGAACCATAAGTTGACCAACTTTGACGATGAGATAAGACTTGATATGCAACTCGATTTGGATAGGATTTCTACCATTCATTGTCCTCGTTTAATTCCTATAGTGTTTGCTGTTGGACGGAAAACTGGCAAGAACATGGAAGAACTATTTGTCAACTG